TTAGTAGGGATTCCTTTCCATCCCGCATGTGCCTGGGGGGAAACGGGAGTTAACAAGAGGAGTGTCCCTAGGGCAAAGAGCACCACTATGGCAGACTCTGAATCTGAAGTCATATTGGGCAGGTGACCCTAGGGCCTAACAATCACAATTCCCCAAATACCCACAAAATAACAATTATCAATAGTAAGCAGATTAAAAACAAAAGGGACCAGGCCACCAGGTTAGGCCGGTCCTGTGAAAACAAACACAACCAACGCTCAGAGGTCCCGCGGGGAGTGCGCTGTGACTGTCCAAAGAGATCACAGGGCATTCCCAGCAGACACTATTGTCGTCTGAATAACAGCTTAAGTCCCAAATCGTCGCTGGCAGTCTTCTCTGCAGGCTGGACGGTCCACCGTTCAGGAGCAGGCACTGCTTTCAGACGAGAGTGATGGATCCAGTTCTTGTGTCCCTCAACCTTTGCTGCTGTATGGGAGACCAGCAGGACGGTGTGGGGTCCCTTCCACTTCTCTTGGAGAGGCTAGTCCTTCCAGGTCCGGACGAGTACGGAATCACCTGGCTGCAAGGAGTGGATCGGGGCATCCAGCGGGAGAGGCTGCAAATCTTTGGTATACCTGTGGAGAGAACAGAGAACAGCAGACAGAGAGCACATGTACTGAGATAAGAAACCACAGCCTACCTCCCACTCCCCTGCCAGAACCGGTGTACCGTTCATAGGCCATGCCCTTCCAAACATAATCTCGAAGGGACTGAGCCCTAACCTGCCCTTAGGGAGAGCACGAATGCGGAGCAGAACGAGGGGCAAAGCATCAGGCCACTTAAGGGAAGCCTCTTGGCAAACCTTTGAGAGGTGCCGCTTAAGTGTCTGATTTGTGCGTTCCACTACTCCACTGGCCTGCGGTCGCCATGGCGTGTGAGCTTCCAGGGGATTTGCAGGGCATCCGATATCTTCTGAACGACTTGAGATGTGAAGTGTGTTCCGTTGTCAGATTCCATCCACTGGGGGAGTCCGAAGCGAGGAACGATCTCCTTGACAAATTTAAGAGCCACTGTTTTGGCAGTGTTATTACGGCATGGGAAGGCCTCAGGCCATCCGCTGAATCAATCTACCAAGATGAGGAGGTATCTGAATCCTTGGGTCCGGGGGAACTCAGTAAAATCTATTTGCCAAACCAGTCCCGGGCTTGGGGTAGGCTCCAGAGTGGCTGGTGGCACTGACACTCCCGGTCGAGGGTTGTTCTTTTGGCAGACTAAACATTCAGCCTGCACCTGGGAGGCCAGAGGCCTAAGTCCAGAGGTTACAAAATATTTACCCATTAGCTGAGAGAGAGCCTCTCTCCCTGCATGAGTGGTTTGATGTAGTTTCTGCAGCACTGACCGAATTAGGCTCTTTGGTAGTAGGATCTTTCCTTCCAGGGAGTGGAACCACCCCTCTTTCTCCTGGAGACCGAGTCTGTCGGCCAGATCCCTTTCTTCGCCAGAGTACTGAGGGGTCGGGAGCTCCCCCACTGATGGGATGAGGGCATGCATATGGGCATCTTCAGCTTCTAGTGGTTCCAGGGTAGCAGCTCGCCTAGCTTCCCTATCCGCCCTAGCATTACCTCTGGCCACATCTTGATCTCCCTTTCGATGAGCCTTGCAATGTACCACTGCTACCATTGTGGGGAGCTGTACCGCATCTAAAAGCCGGAGAATCTGGGGTCCATGTTTGACAGGAGAGTTTTGCGCTGTCGACATTCCTCGTTGCTTCCATAGACCAGCATGGGCGTGTAGTACTCCAAAGGCATATCTGGAATCAGTAAAAACGTTAACTCTTTTCCCTTTTGACAGTTCAAGTGCATGGGTTAAGGCTACCAATTCAGCCAGCTGGGCTGATGTCCCAGCAGGTAAACCCTCTGCTTCCACGGTTTCATGGAGAGATACAATAGCATAGCCGGCCCTCCTTTGCCCGTTTACAACTGTGCTACTGCCGTCTGTATACCACTCATAATCAGCAGTTGGGAGGGGTTGATCTTTCAAATCTGGGCGGCTAGAATATTGGGCATCTATGACCTCCAAACAGTCGTGTTCCTGCTCCTCTGTCTCCGGTAACAGGGTCGCTGGGTTAAGGGAGGGACAGGTCTGTAAGGTAACTTCAGGATTTTCTACAAGCTTTGCCTGATACCGAGCAACCCGAGCCTGTGTGAGCCAGAGACCACCCTTAGTATCCAGCAGGGCTTGGACCATACGGGGAATATACACTTGCACAGCTCCCCCCAGTGTCAGTTTCTCGGCTTCCCCAAGCACTAGAGCAGTTGCTGCGACCGCTCGCAAACATGCCGGCCATCCCTTAGCAACTTGATCCGGTTGTTTAGAGAAATATGCCACGGGACGTTTCCAGGTGCCTAATAACTGAGTAAGCACTCCCAGGGCCACTCCTTTCCTTTCATGGACATACAGTTGGAATGGCTTAGAGAGGTCCGGCAGACCCAGGGCTGGAGCTTCCATCAGTTTCCTTTTTAAAACCTTAAATGCCTTGTCGGCTTCTGAGGACCAGTGAAAGGGGTCATGATCCGCTCCCTTAACACATTCATACAAGGGTTTAGCCCACAGTCCAAACTCTGGGATCCATATCCTACAGAAGCCTGCCATACCCAGAAATGCCCTGAGCCGTTTACGATTGCTTGGGATAGGAATTTGACAGATAGCTTCCTTTCTTTCGTTTGAAAGCTGGCGTTCCCCCTGCCTTATATAAAATCCTAAGTAGTGAACTTCTGGAAGGGCAATCTGAGCCTTACTCTGTGCTACTCAA